AAAAAAAAAAAAAAAAGAGAGATGACACTACAACAGATTTTATAGATGACAAAAGGGTAATAAAAGAATGCTATGAACATTAAGCCAATAAATTTGACAACTTAGGTAAAATAGACACATTCTTTGAGAGACACAGGATATAAAAGCTTGTTCAAGAAGAAATAGATAACACAACTAGCTCTTCATCTACTAACAGAATTTAATTTGCAGTTTCACAGAGAAAATTCCAGGACCAGATGCCTTCATTAGTGAATTCTATTAAACATTTTGGGAAGAAATAATACCAATTCTACATAAAATCTTCCAGAAAATAGAAGTGGCAGAACATTCTCTGACTCATTATACAGTAGCATTACTCTGATAACACAAGCAAAGATGTTACAAGAAAACTAAAGTATAAATATTTTTCATAAAGATAGATGCAAAAATATCTTAACAAAATATTAGCAAATTGAAATCATCAAGTTGTATCTATGAAGAATTTATTTATTTATTGAAGAAATTATTTAAAAATAAAAAGGCAAAATAATTATTAGGAACAAGAGTCAGAGGAGATTTAAAAATGGGAGAAACATACAAGCACATAGCCTAATAAATTAGAATGTCTAAATTCAATGAATTAAGGCCAGGAGCAGTGGCTCATGCCTTAATCCTGGCACTCTGGGAGGCCCAGATGTATGGACTGCTTGAGCTCAGGAGTTTGAGACCAGCTTGAGCAAGAGTGACACCCTGTCTCTAAAAAATAGCCTGATGTTGTGGCAGGTGCCTGTAGTCCCAGCTACTCAGGAGGCTGAGGCAAGAGAATGGCTTGAGCCCAAGAGATTGAGGTTGCTGTGAGCTATGATACCACAGCACTCTACTGAAGGCAACAAAATGAGACTCTGTTTCACATGGCACTCTACTAAGGGCAACATAATGAAACTCTGTTTAAAAAAAAAAAAGACTAAATTCAATGAATTATGACTTAATAGGCTCAAAAACTTAAAAAGATGATGAACTCAGAGGTTGCAGGCAAGATGGCAGCCAAGTAACAGCTTCTTTACAACCAGGCGTGGTGAAACTGGGGAGAGAAGACTTCAGGCAACTCTGACTTGTGGAATTTTCCCAGAAAAATCCCTTAGGGGACACAGGGAGACAGTGGGAGACTTCTGGACTCCAGGAGCAGTGGAGAAGTAGTAAGTGGTTGTGTTTGATCTGAGGCTGTGGCAGCTGCTGTGGCTGTAGGTATAGCAACAGTGAGATTACAGACAGTTCCCTGTAGGGCCTTCCTTGTGGGGTGTTTTCTTTTTTGGACTTGGGCACTTGGTTGAGCTACCTTGGGAGACCTTGGGCGAGTGTGCAAGAGACTTTTAGCAGTCTCCAGAGTTTAGGACTGAGCTGCTGGGCCAGAAAGAGCTTTCTTTGTTTGGTTGTGAGCCATGGGCAGCCAGTGTAGCTTCCTGCAGGGTCTGCCCTCAGGGTCTCAGAGGAAGGCCTGTGCTGGGAGATTTTAGGAAACTGAAGAAGTAACTCTCAATAGAGCCCAGAGGCCAGGACTGAGGCATCAGGGAAGAGCAGGGATTTCGTTGTTCAGCAATAGGTTGCCTTGCAACCTTAGCCCTCGGGGTGTAGTGAGGCCAGTTTGGCAGGCCCAATAAGCAGGCAGCAACTTAAGGAGAGATCCCAGCAACACATACTTTCCTGGGAAAGCCTCTGCTTAGCCAAGGGTCATGGTTTAAAGTGTCTTTTAAGCAGGCTGAGGAAACATTCAGGCTCTCAACCCTGTGGGGTTAGGGGACAAAGTAGCCAGTAGTGGCCTCCAGTCTCCATCTTATACAGCTGTATCAGCATTGTGATTAGTATCTCATACCCCAGAAGATCACCTGTTGCCCAGGCAATACTCAGCAAGATATATGTGTATATGGCTTTGTTTTTATTTCACCCCCCCCAGATTTTTATTTTTCTTTTTTTTCATTTTCTAGTGTAAATATAATTTTTCATTGTTGCCTTCTTTAATAATAAGAGCTTCACTTTTCCTAGTTTTTCTACCTCTGTTATTTGTTTTTTCCCCTTAATTTTATCCTATAATGTTTTTTGTTTGTTTTGGTTTGATTTATAGTATTTTTGTTTTTCTTCCTATTTGGTGGAGGTGGGGTACTGTGTCTGCCCAGGCTGACAAAATGCTGTAGACCTCAAGGGAACCAACCCAGCACCCCCAGAGGTTGAGGGGTTAAGGTGTGGGTCAAAGTACCCTACTGTACACCTCTATTACTCCTGTGCCTCCCTTTTTTGTCAGTCTTCCCTTTTACTCATTCCTTTTCCTTTCTCTTTTTTCCCTTCTTGCTCTTTAATCTTCTTATCCTTTTACTAAAAGGACACATCAACCTCTTAGGTCAGAGGCACAGTAACTTAAAGAGCAAGAAGAAGTGAAAGGAAAATTAGAGCAAGGAAACAGATAAAAGAAAACACTCATGAGGAAGAATCAGCAGAAAAATCCTGGCAACATGAAAAGCCACACCAGAGCAAGCCCCCCACCCCCAAGGGACCATGGGGTTGCTGCTGCAGAGAATTCCATCTATAAAGAAATGTTAGAAATGACAGAAGGGAAATTTAAAATATGGATGATAAAAACAATAAAAGAAATTGCTGAGAAAGTAGAAAATAACCAAAAGGAAATCCAAAAACAGAATCAAATAAGAGATGAATGATATGAAGAATATAGAAAGGATATAACAGAGCTAAAAGAATTGAAGCAGTCAATTAGGGAACTTAA